AGAAATAGATTATGGAGTGTCCTTGGATACATGGAACCATCCGCTTGCCGATGCAGTGGTATCTATAGCTGACGCGGCCTTCCAATCTCCCGTAATAGTTCCTTGAGATGAAAGTCGTCCGTAAAGGATCCATGTACCAAGATCCTGACTATCCGTGTCCTTCTATAGTGACATCGTATTAATTATACATTATAATGTAAGGCGAGTGAACCTACCGGTTTCCGAGACAGGAAAACAGTGGCTGTACCATAATCCACGTATCCCGTAAAGGTATAACTAATTTGAGAAGGAGTATCGCCAAGCATTGTCTGGTTAAAGTAGTAAATCTCAGGGGAAAAAAACATGTATATGGGCTCACTTCACCAACTACGAGTGTTCGCAAACTCTCTGTTGTAGTCGCTAGTCAGTTAAGCGGTGAATTAACAGGCTCGTTATGTACAGACCAGAACCTGACATGCTGTTATAATCTCTGTCCATCCTTTGATATATTGAAGGCTGAATTCCTTTATGTTTAGATATCCTCAGGGTATTCTGTCAAAAGCGTGTGAAATATCGGTCTGCTTCGATCAACTTTCCATTGTTACCTCATGTTCTTCAAAGGACCATCCTGAAGCATATATTTCTTCCTGTACCTCTGTGAATTTCCCCTTCGCTTTATCAGAAGTCCTGGGAACGAATACGTATTCACGAAGACAGAATACCACATTTTCTGCGCACATGAATGTTTTCAAAGACGGTTCCAAGCGACAGGGTATCTCAACAACCAAAGTTTATCAGAAATGTGAGAGTTATGAAATATTAATCAGCTTACAAAAAGCGCACCTCGCCATGTTCCCTCACAAGATCCAACCCTGACCCCTTGGGTTTGTAGAGTTTTAGCCACCCCTGTGGGAAAGACAGCTCGATGATTCCAGTCTTCGTCAAAGCAACAACTTCTCGTATTTGAAGGTCCTGGGAAAATGCCACTAATTGTATGTCCATGATATAATTTGAATTGAGATAAGAGCGCTTGAAAGTGGTATTCTTGCATACCTTCGTTTCTTGGGGTAATATCTGCCGATAGTCCCGATGCGAGCTAGGTCGACAAGGGTAGGAGGGATTATCGTACATTGGTTGCCAAATAGGCGAATAGTAAGGGGAATCATGCCCACGGACATAGAACCTGATCCCGGAACCTGGATTTAAGGTATGTAAGTAATCTCGGGGATATAGTAAATGGAACGCCTACCCAAGCTCTATGTGTATGTGGTTCCAACAGGTCCAACATTTCTTCCCGTTCGTTAGGTTCTTCTGATAGAAAATCATCTATTCGAAAAATTAGTCTGGCACTCGAAATGATATGCTTTAAAGAAATACTTCGTGCGTTTTTGAGGTCATAAAGTGCTAAGAGGAACGTACATAATGGGTCCTTTGATGTCCCGGGAATAGACGCCTGCGATCCTACTATTGACCCGCCGGTAACCAGAAGGCCGGACTCATCGAGAATGGCATGCAGGTGCCGTAGGTTGTTCCCATCATCTTCAATCGCCATGATATAAAGTCGGCATAGGTCAGTTGCAGAAATACAGCCGGAGTTCCTTCCTGCCAGGGCACTACGAATCCGTTTCAGCAGATCCAACCGTAGCTTCAGTTCGGCAGCCAGAGAAGATGATCGCATGGCCTTGGATCCAAGTCTTCGATATGCAGCTGCAGTATCAAACAGAACATAGAATGCTTCTCCATATATGTCGTAATTGTGGTCGATTGAGAGTGCCAGATTCATTCGGCGGCACGTTCGAGCCATTGACACGATAGTATACACATCCGATATGGAATCTGCGGTTGAAATGCATGAAATAGCAATGCGTTTGAGAACATCATCGTTTAATGCTGTTATGGAGCAATGCGACGAAGGATAAAACGCTGGCATGAAGGGTCTATCAAGGGGTATCTCAGTTTTTCACCCATATATTAATATGGTTCGTTGATAACCACGATAGACAACCTACCTACTAAGTACCGCGATGTCGTACCAAAGGTCTTTGCAGAGAGCTGTTGAATAATTATGCTGGAAAATCTGTGGATGAGGATACCTAAGATAGCACTGGGGTGAGTTCCGAGACATATTACTTACGTGTGGGGTGGGTTGGGTTCCTGGTCAGACTCGGTTCAGATCTATATATCCCGATAGCCTGTGGGGTCATCCCTGCAAAGGTGAGAAGTTAACTAATTTACATCAACTTGACTGGGAACTAGATCCAAGTCTATCATACATTAGAAGCTCCAGTAGGGAACCTGATTGGATATAGACAAGAGAGGAGATCTCCCGATGGTCATGTCCAGCGGGAAAGTATCAATTGTCACCTGGTACTTGCGCAACGGTGTCACTGGCACTGATGTGTATACAAATGAATATTCTAAAGAAAAATCTGGCTGTTTAGTCCTCTTAATTAGGTTTGGACAAAATGAATCCGGTGAATGCAGAAAATAGCAATCTGTGGGAGGTGGAGAACTTAAAGATACGACAAGGTTAAAGTGCATCGTACCAATTCCGATGACAGAAAAGGCAATCAAGTTGACAGGCTTCCACTGAAATAACGGGTACTTAGGTATTATTCGGCAAATAACGACATCTTCCGAAGTCCAGCTTCATATCCGTGGGACACTCGACCTTCTAAAAAATGTGAGAAATATATCCCCAACCGAATTACATGTAACATTCAAGCCACATTGAGGACCGTGGCTGGAACTTTGACAACAGAAAGTCGTCGATCCCTAAAATCGCAACGAGTCTGATGGAAATACCCTGAGTTTCCAGGTAAATCATAACTTACAGATGGTAATTCCGTGCCATCATAAACATAACGCCGCCACGCTTATCATAGTTCGGGTACTAGATGGCCAATAAAGTAACCCACGATCAAGGGCATTCGGCTACCTCACGGGAACGCTCACTTTATTTGGTAACCATTGCTTTGATTGTAGTAATAGTAGTCATAGCATGCGCAAGGTTCAATCATAAAAGATGATTGGGGTGCCGACCTGCAACTCAAGTCGATAAATGGAAATGATCGAAATAAATGACCATGGCGTGCAAAGATCTACTGACCTTTGGAGTGGATGCGGTTGGGTAGGTACGAGGAACTCCCCACTGGCAGCTGTCGAAGTGAGCGTATGGTCACAGCTCGCCAAGCGTCGAAAATGACACCGATGCTCCGGCGTTCGCCGCTTATGGAGACTGCTCGAAACCACTGGGATATAATAATGTTCAATGCTCATCGTAGAATATGTAATGTAAATACCGTATTATCATATTACAAAAACTCAAGCCCATAAACGGATTTGCAATTATTTATTCTCGGCAGAGATACATTTGAAGGCACACATCTCGGAACCTATAGGCCTTGATCGGTGCATCCGAGTATGCGCTCTGATCATTAAAGGATTGTTAAGAAGTGTCTACGAGGGTACTTTCATGCTTCGAGTTTCCATATTATTGGAATATTTTGTGTGTGAGCCTTTTAGTCAGACGGGGTAAGTATCCGATGGGAAATACTCGCCCTTCTGAGTCGATGGCCTACTAGACGTTATGCAGTAACTATGCTGCGTTATATGTAGTACAGAGACCAAGACTTGGAGGTTCCATCATCGAAAAGATATCCAACTACCAGCTGATAGTTCCTGATACGAGTTACCCGCATCGGGAAAGTTGACACAGAATCCGGTTTAGCGCACGTGCTAGGAGTGATAGGCGGTGGTATGTAGGGCTATGTAGTCTATATACCGACTCCTAGTGACTCCGTACTTACCTATCCTACCTAGTGTTACCTAGCACTATGGGGAGTTTAGCGCACGTGGCACGCTTTGCTGATGCGAGCAACCAATAGTTACCCGAGCAATCAATAAATTTAATCTCGGCTTATCTCATTGTATTTAAGTCAGTTTTGGCATTACTGCCGGCCTCCTTATGGGCTTTGCCTTCATGTAATGAAGATTAAGAAATTTCTTTTTGCAAGAATGGCCTCATGGGTGTCTTATTATAGTCTCGCTTATACCAAAGGTCACCCTGAGGAATAAGGTTTGCATTTTATTTATCTGTCTGGAAATCCATATATATATCCCCATTGACACGATATGGACACTCTCACGGATCTCACGTCCGATCAGAGCACAATTTATATCTAGTTTGACCGGAGTCTCTTCGGAAAGAACATGTACCTAATACGTATACGGGAGAAAGTCTAGAGCCTTCGATAGCCTTCGACCGTCGTTGGCCGTTCCCTAAATGAGTCCCTTGTCCATTTGTGGAAATTTGTAGCCCACTCGCTAGAGGTATGGAGGTGCGCCCCTGTTCTCTCAATCGGTCGCGTTATTAATCACCATTTGCCAGGTCTTTTTACTACTCGAGACCTAGAGATAAATATCTCAAGTATGCAAATATTTGACTCACTGAAAGCTTGGTACCCTATTAGGGGTTCTTCCCTAGTAATTATTAATGTGTGGTGACATTGTACCAGTCTGGGAATGTTACTTTGAAAACGGGGGTCCGTACTTCCGCTGCACAGCACCTTGATATTCATAGGCAACGGCCACACGGTACGAGGACGATACGTACTTCAGGTTACTTGACCTTTACGCTACATACTACCAAAAAGACCACTTATAGTTTTCGACGGACCACTGATATATCATATAATAAGAGGGCTGTCGCTCTGGTTAGTACACTGCGGAAGCTTTAGCCGTACATGAATTACATAGCATGGTTAGTGCGTGTCTTTTTGAGAATTCCTGCCCTTCAGCAGCCCGGAGGTACATTCCGCATTCGATAGACTAGCCAGAAGTCCGGCCTTTAACAGCCTTTAACAGAGCTGCTATTTTTGAAAACCATGGAATCATAAACGGTTCGAAGAAGTCATATGCTAGAGAAGAAGTCATATGCTAGAGAAGAACATCTTTCGGTGGAGCAGGATATCTTTCTATTCGATCCGAGGGAGTATACAATGATCTAGTTGCAAACCATTGGTTTATTAGCTCAGTTGGCTAGAGCGTGGTACTAATAACGCCAAGGTCACAGGTTGAACCCATGTATGGACCAATCTTTTTATCACATTTTTAGATATTTTACTGTAATCCTGCCGGATTACCTCCCTATTGGCTATTCATTCTCTATTACCTAACTGTAGGTGCGTGTAGTATTTTCTCTTATTGTTTACCTTTACAGCGCTTTGTAGTACACAAGGCACGCTCTGCTACCGCCGGAAAATCCAGGATACTAATATTAGAGCATCCACACTATATCCTGCCCTCACAAACAATGTAATAGACCAGACTCCCAACCTGGTGCTGTCACACTTCCTGATTGGTTAAGTATCGATGTTCTGAAAAATTTCCGGCGGTAACAGAGTGCACCTTGCGTACTGCAAAGCGCTGTAACGTCACGTCTGTGTATGTAGTCTTTAGTTTTAGATGAATACACTCGGGTCCTGACGATGCTTGGCCCGAGACATTAGTGAGGCTGCAACTGACGGCAGCCTTTCACTTACCTAATTATTGTGCCATAAGGAATCAATGTCAAGACATTTCTCCCAGTTGCTCTGGGTAAATGTCACGCCCTGACCCATAAATTGTTTTATTTGATTATTGTTCATTTTCTTCAGACTCCGCTTTCTGCCATGTTCATTATTCATCTTTGATTTCGTTCATTCTTGTATTATTCTAATTCTTTCATTGGTTCGTTCTACCCTTTTGGACTCTGTCCATCTTTATTGATTCACTCAGTCACTCCTTATCTTTCAGACTCCATCTCTTATCACACTTACTCATTCTCATTGATGCCAAGTACCACTTGTCATTCTTATCTTTCACATGATTATGTTTACATGTGCTTGTTAGATTATTTTCTCATCAGCCTCTAGTTGACACCATCATCAACCAATCACATTCCTTACTACTATTCCCTTTCTGTTTGTATCTCTGTATCCCTGACTATTATTCCTTACATTTTCTGGCCTCCATTTTAGTATAAATAGCTGGACATTGTATTTTGGTTCAGTAGTCAGAAATCAACTTCATTATTCTGTTAACTCAGCCCACTCTCTGTTTTCTTGTTCATCCTCCTTCTGCTATATTTGGCCTCTGATTCTTCCTACATGACTTGTCTGTGACAATCAGTTGGACTCCAAACCTCTATTCATCACCAACTCATTCTCAAATAGGGACATCACATACAACTAAGAGCACAACACATACATTGAAGCCAAGTCCCTTCCATTATATTCTTTTGGGCTTTGTTATACTTACTCATTCTATTATATCCAGAGTCCAAGTCAACACCTAGATACTAGGACATGACAGTAAACTAAAATGCACTAGAGACTTCTGCAGGCTCATCAAGGATTTTCTTCTCAAGATTGTACCTTGGATTCAGCTGTATTTTTAATGATTCTCCTAGTATTTTAAAAGTATAATAACTATATGGTTCCAATATAGTATGACAAGCCAGGCAATATCACAAGCTCCAATATTCTCTCTGAGGAGTTCCTTCACAAAATCTTGAAATGTATTTGGAATTTGTTTATATGAACTCACAACAGCAGTGTCACCTTTAATACCCCACTGGCAGAGAACCATTGATTACCAATATCAATGCAACAGTGATGCTGATGGCAGAGTTCGCCAGTCCTGGTATGTCAATACCTAGTGTTTAGAAAAAGAAAAAGAAAAGAAAAAGTTTCACTGAGTTTCTTTCTCTCATGAATTGGTGAATTAATGCATTGATTTTTTTCCATTATAATGTCCATGATAGAAATTTGACCTTGGATTCAGAATAGTTACATTGATATCATGATCAAGCTAGATGAAGACACTTCCTTTTTTTTCTCTTTGGTTCATCTGTCCACAAAAGAAAGTTGCCTTTACAAGGAAATTAGGGAATGTGGAACCCAGGCTTTATTTACTAGGCACTTTCTGTGATGATTAGAGTAAATTTCAAAAGGTGAGATGGGACTTGGAGTGGGAAAGAATACACAGCTATTGCAAGCAGTTAAAAGTCAAAGCCAGTTTTAAAATGGTTGGATGTACAGAATACACCATTGATGTTCTCTTAACCCTAGAGGCTTATGTGCACAAGATCCATACATATCACTTCAGAATAAATTACAAGACATGCGATGAAATGGTATCACACTTGCCTTTCACTTGGTTGTTAGCAAGTGGCCAGGGTTCGACTCCCCATGTGTAATTTGGGATTGGTCTTGAGAATTCCTCATATTTTGCTTTATCAGCTGCGAACCACCCATTATGCTTTGGTGAACCTGAGCCTTTCCTTGTATTTCTTTCTTAAGCATTCTTTTGGCAATTGTTCACCCTGAATTGACTCTGCTACCCCTATTATGACACAACTTTGGTCGAACAGGGTCAACCACTTGAATGGTGTGTTCTTGTACTTGCAGTGATTGTCCCCAAACTCCATGTCATAGCTGGCTTCCACTAATTCTTATACCTGAACAAGCAGTTTACTTTCTCTCTTTCAAGTGTCCTCAGGCTCTCATTGCCTTCTTCCCTTTCATTTTGGATCTTGTCCTGAGAATATTTTTAGACAAAGGATTCTGTGCAAGGAGTAGAATACACTTTTTCTTCATTAAGAGGTAAAGAAGTCAATGTCAACCAGTTGTCAAGCCATCAATTCATTGTTCCCTATTGAACTTGCTAACTCTGATTCTGTCTAGTTAGGTATGTACAATTAAAGATTGATAATCACACCAATTGTATTGACATCACATCAACTTTAATTTGTTACAATAGGTCACCACCTATTCATATTTTCCAAATATTGACATCCAAGCTGAATATACTCTCCACAAGAATAACAGTCTACCAACCTCCATGGCCTGCGATTACCAAAATTCAACTACACACCCAGCTTTGAGACAATCATACATCCTTCAAAAGCACAGAATAGGAACCTGTCCTGAAACATTGAATGCTGAAGAGATTGTCATGGTCCAGGATATTCCTTGCCTCTTAGTGTTCAAAATTGATTCTTATGACAGCACATGGACTATGTTGACATACTGTTATGTCCTGATATGGGATACACCTGGTAATCTGCATGGAGGTATGTAAGTGGCTCCAGGCAGGAACAGTCAATGTATACTGAATGGACTTGGTTGGCTTCAACTTATGTATTGTGCCCTGCCTGGTTGTAGGTTGTCCCTACCTCAGAGGTTAGAGAAAATCTAAAAGATGAAGGGACAACAGATGGAGAGTAGCAGACAGAGATGAGAAACAGAACAGAGTATGAGTACATGGTCTGATTTCTGACTGAAGAAAAGTAAATACAAGTAATGGTAAATAAGGGAAATAACCAAATAGAGAATCAGAGTAGGATTACATAAGCAGAGGAGCAGAGGAGGAATACATAAGCAGAGATAAGATGGAAAACATAATTGGTGTATGATGAGGTGATCATACACCTTGCAAAAGCCAATGGGAAAATAATGTAACTAATGGAGGGATGATACATCAGCTGAGTCGCAAGCAAGATAAGAAAACATAAGGCATAGGTAAGGACAGATAACAAAGATAAGGCAAAGTCCAGGCAGAAAGCATACATACAATGGATGAATAAAAGGGAATGACTGAAGTTCTGCATGGAAGCAGTCACATGGGAAGGGTTAGAATGAATGAATACAAACTGAATACAAAACAATACAATGGAAATAAAAGAGCAAAAGTTGGTCAGATCCATACTTGGCACATACAAAGGATACTTTCAGGTCAATCTGCCATCCACTGGCAACCCTCATTTTTTGGAACATAAACTACTAAATGAATATCCAGACATTGCACATTTGCCTGAGGTGCAACTTAGAGTGAAATACAGGCACTGAAGTCAAGATTTGGGTCACCAATAGGCTGTAATCAGGAATATCTATAATGGCATACCTTTCATAAAATCAAAGGATGTGTCATGCCCTAATCCATAAATTGTTTTATTTTATTATTTTATTCATTTTCGTCGGATTCCATTTTCTGTTATGTTTGTTATTCATCCTTGATTCTATTTGTTCATGTATCATTCCAATTTCTTCATTGGTTCACTTATTCTTTCCACCCTTTCAGACTCTGTCCATCTTCATTGATGTAAGGGCAACCCTAAATGATCTGCAGACCTCATGCAAACTAGTAGAGGGGAAATCCAAAGTATACATAAATGACCCGAAGTAGCATTCATTGAATGAATGCTCACCTAGTAGAGGGTCCGAAGAGAAAAACTCTAAGGATACCCTGCCACTAGAGAGCCCCTAAATACCCTCAACTCAAGATAAGAAGATACGGAATAAAAGATAAATGGAGTAATAGAAATGACCGAAGGGGAGATAGAGGTACAACCCTGAGTCACCTTGACCAACCTCCATATGCCTCCCGAATGACCCTGACACCTCAGGTATGAGGTGAGGCTAAAGCCTCAAGGTTTCTGTGAAGTAACAACAAAGTGGAAACAAGTTGTCCAAAGTGTAAATGAAGGGGAACAAAGTGAAAAGAAGTGAATTGAAGCAAAAGTGAAGTAAAAATAAAATAAAATAGAACAAGCAAAGGGAAACAAGGGTGAAGCGAAGTAAAATGAGGATAAAGTGAAGTCCTCCGAAGTGTGAAACAAAGTAAAACAAAGTAAAAAACAAAGTAGAAATGAAGTAGAAAATAGGTTGTCCCCTGACAATTGACTTACTCATTTACTCCTTATCATTCAGACTCCGTCTTCTTATCTTGCTTACTCATTCTTATCTCCCACATGATTATTTTTAGATGTGCATCTTATGTTATTCTCTCATTGGCCTCTGGTTGACGCCATCATCAACCAATCACATTCATTTACTACTATTCCTTTTCTGTTCGTATCTCCATATCCCTGACTATTATTCCTTATATTTTCCAGCCTCCATTCTAGTATAAATAGTCGCAAATGTATATTGGTTCAGTAGTCAGAAATCAGATTCTGTTAACTCAATCCACTCTTTGTTTCTTGTTTGTCTTCCTCTGCTACACTCAGACTCTGAGTGTTACGGGCTGATCCTAATGATAGGTTCTGAAGTGTGACTGAAGTAATGAACGAAGTCACACTAAAGAAAGGGAAGTTAGAACCAAAGGACTTGGCTTCAACGTGCATGGGTTGCACCTTCTCGAAATGTACGTGTCCTTAATTTAGAACAGATTAGAACCAACAATATATGAGCGAAGTCAAATACCGAAGTTCTGAACGAAGTCCTGAACAAAGATAGGACCTCGGAGTAAGATCAAAGGTTCGAGGTAGATTTCAGAATTGATCTTGAAGGTTTGTATTTGATTCAAAGGCTATTAGAGGTCTGAGGTGTATAGAGGAGAATGAGCACTAGGCTCGAGTATAGGAATGATATACACTAGGTCTAATTTCTGACTAGAGAAAATTAGCTAAGATACATGTACTTATATACTATAAGTCCATGGACGAAAGTGGAAGTGAGTATTACCAATAAGTAAATCAAGTGCGGAGCAGAGCACAACATAAAGTGATACAACAATGAGTATATGCGTATTGTTGAATAGCGAAGGTTCAGGGGAATCATTAAACCGATAAAGTGAACGATTGAAAAGGCATTATGGACAAATATGCAATAAGGAATATAAGTGAATGGAGGATATGTCATGATAACAATAAGTGAACGGAAATATGCCATAAGAAAAGATAAGTGAATGGAAACAATACAAACAAATTGGAAACGAACATGATGAAGTGTCACCTGTCAGAATAGAAGAAGTATCAAGGACCAATTGTGCCAGGTCCAAAGCAGACTAATAATAGTCTTCCAGAATTGTGGAGCAGATAGTGTGATTGAACGAAGTAGGTGGGCAAAGATGTTGCCCACAAGATCAAGAAGAAGTCAAGGATGTGGGTCAAGGGTGTGTTGTGTGAACACGAAGACGAGGTGAGAAGCGAAGTTGAACGAAGTAAGATGTGAAGTTGAACGAAGCTCTCTGAAGGTATGTGACCTTCTCCAAAGCTTCGTGGAGGTTAAACGAAGTCACATGTCATGACACTTAAGCACGGGGCTTAACACTGAGTCTCTCACTCTGACTTGTCTGTGACAACTCATTGGACTCCGAACCTCTGACCCTCTCAACTTCATTCTGAAATAAGGACACTTCTGTATGACTAAGGGCACAACACATAAGTTGAAGCCATGTTCCTTCTGTTCATATTATTTCAGTCTCTGTTTATACTCACTCATTCTATTATATCTGAAGTCCAGGTGACACCTAGATACTAGGACATAACAGGATGCCACATTTATCCTGGATATATGGGAGCTACAGCCCACATGAGATGATCTGATTCCCACTGCAAAGTCAGCACTGATAGAACTTGATGACAGTTCAGTTTGGGAGCACTTCCAGTCTGTGATCAGAAACACCAACAACCAAATTAAGTTGAATACCCACCCACTGAATGAAGCTTCATGTGGTGAGAATAGTGAAGATCTGTGTGGTGAGGGTAAAGAAGACCCATGCAGCAAGGATAATGGTATGGACACCAGTGATGATTTTGAGCCAACAGATCATCCACCTGGAAAATGCTGTGTTTGTGAGAGAGTGGGACTTGTGAAAGATCATCTACAGAGCATCTACCACAATGTGCTATGATCTGGCAAGATTCAATGACAGTTTGAATGGAAAATGTAGTAAATGCACACAAAAATGTAATAATTAATTTTAATGGAAATGATTTTAATGAACTTACCATTACTGACTGGTCAATTGTTTGCCTATGAAACTTAGATGAACTGCCTGAAGCCTAAACTATAGTTCTTCTACATGGAAGGTGCTTTTGTGAGGTAACATCTCTGACAGTCTGAAATGGTATCTGGGAACTAATCCTTCTGAAAAGGATGGAGAAAAAAAAGAAAAAAAAAGAAGAAAAAAAAAAGGAGTTAGCTGAGTAGCTCCACATGAGTTACAGCTCTTTAAATTATGTAAGGTGCACACTTCATAATGCAAACAGGATTCCTAAGCTCACAACCATGATATCTTGACAACTGCTGCATCAATTCCTTTGAATCTTGGTAGTATAACTTTCTGATATATGTAATAGGTCCCTATATAATAAAATATACAAAAATATTCTTGGAAGGAAATGGTGTGCAAAAGCTCTCAAGCAAAGCTGAGCAATGAAAATGGCAAAAATTCTCAAGTCTAGTTATTCA